GGTGTCTCCTGCGTCCCTGGGACGCCTGGAGCTTGCCGAGTGCTGTGTGGAGTGGATTCCCTGGGCCCTGAGGGAGGGACATACACGGAGCCCACCCCACACCACCCTGCCCCTCCAGACCCCCTGACCGAGCTTTCCTTTCTGCCCCCACCCACGCTGCCTCCGTAGTTAGGAACTGAGAGCGGCGAGCGACAGGTAACGGGGCCCAGCCCTGCTGTCCCGTGCTGTCCCAGCCCCAGGAGGGCCCCATGTGTGGCACAGGGCATGGACTGGGCCTCACCAGCAGCAGGGTGGGGACACTGAGTGTGCCGCGCCCGGGGGATGCCTCGGGGTGGGAGCTGGGCCCGGCGACCCTCGGCACAGGGTACTGGGGACACCACCCTGATTCAACTCCTCTCCGCCTCTCTCCCTGTCTTCCTCTCTTTCTCTCTTCTGCTTCTCCCTCTGGCTCTCTCTCGCTCTCACTCCCCTACCTCCCCACAGACACCCGCCCCCTCTCCACGCAGCGGCCGCTCCCTCCACCGTGCAGCCTGGAAACCATTGCCGAGGAGCCCGCCCCAGGCCCTGGCCCCACGCCACCAGCGGCCGTCCCCACCAGCTCTTCTCAGGAACGGCCCCCATACCCCACAGGACCGGGAGCCGATGTGACAAGCCCCCCAGAGGACACTGAGGAACACCGAGACAGCAGGCCTCGGCCGTGCAATGGCAAGCGTCCCGGTGGGGCATACGAGGGGGCCCCCAGCAGCCAGTTGGACGGCAGGAGCCAGCCCCGGACCCCGGGCCACCTGCCCGTGATTAGAAGGGTGAAGAGTGAGGGTCAGGTGCCCACAGAGCCCCTGGGAGGATGGCGGCCCCTGGCTGGTCCCTTTCCAGCCCCTGCCGTGTACTTCGATGCCACGGCCAGTGACCGGCTATGGCAGCGGCTGGAGCCATGTGGCCACCGAGACAGCGTTTCCTCCTCCTCCAGCATGTCGTCTAGCGACACTGTCATTGACCTCTCCCTGCCCAGCCTGGGCCTGGGCCGCAGCCGTGAAAGCCTCCTCGGAGCCCATGTGGGACGCCTGCCCCCCAGGCCCCACTCAGCTTCAGCTGCCCGCCCAGACCTGCCACCTGTGACCAAAAGCAAATCCAACCCCAACCTGCGGGCTGCGGGCCAGCGGCCTCCCACGCCTGACGAACTGCGGCCCAGGCCCCTGGCCCCACGGATGCCTGGCCTCCCGCTCCGGCCGCCCTGGGGCTGCCTCTCCCTGGTGGGCCTGCAGGACTGCCCCGTGGCTGCCAAGTCCAAGAGCCTGGGGGACCTCACTGCTGACGACTTTGGCCCTAGCTTTGAGGGCGGCTCCCGCAGCCTGAGCCACAGCCTGGGCCTCCCGGGAGGGACACGGCGGGTGTCGGGGCCAGGGGTGAGACGGGACGCCCTGACGGAGCAGCTGCGCTGGCTCACGGTCTTCCAGCAGGCAGGAGACATCACGTCACCCACCAGCCTGGGCCCGGCTGGGGAGGGGGTGGCGGGGGGCCCTGGTTTTCTGCGGCGCTCTTCCTCCCGCAGCCAGAGCCGTGTGCGTGCCATTGCCAGTCGGGCCCGCCAGGCCCAGGAGCGGCAGCAGAGACTACAGGACCTGGGCCGGCAGGGACCCCCAGAGGAGGAGCGGGGCACCCCCGAGGGCGCCTGCTCCGTGGGCCACGAAGGCGGCGTGGATGCGCCAGCACCCTCCAAGGGAGCCCCTGGGTCAGCATCTGCGGCCGCGGAAAACCTGGTCCTGCTCCGCCTCTGACCACCTCAGTGGTGGGAACCTGGGGGACTCTGGAGGCCCAGGACAGGGGTGGGCGTGTTGTGTTTGCTCAGGAAACAGGGCAGCCAGGCCCCCAAAACTGTGTCCCTGGCTGCCCTGTGTCCCCTCGGCCCCTGCCTCCCTCCTGCCCCTGCTCCCGGGGGAGGAAAGGCTGAAGCTGCTGGCCTGAGGCCCACAGGAGGGGGTCGAGGCTGACCCCGCCAGGCAGATTTTCCGGTTTTAAGATCGATCCATACAGAAATATTTAAATTTTTAGAAGCAAAACTTATACAATATTAAAATGATACCAAGTCCCTTTCCATTTTTACCTGGCTTTTCGCCCCGGGTGTGTGTGGTGTGCATCTGTGCACACCTGTCCTGAGCCTGCCCTGGGCGATGCAGCTGACCTGGCCACGGCACAGGCTGGGGTGCTTGTGAGGCACCAGGGCTGCTCAGAATGCTATCTGGGCCTCGCCTTGAAGGCTGCATCTGCCTTGCTGCGACCATGCTGCCCTCTGCACCAGGCCTAAGCCTCTGTAAACTCCCGAATGTGGTTCCAATAAACGTGGTCACCAGCATGCACGGGCTTCCCGCTCGCTCAGCCTCATGTGCGACACCAGGTGTCTGTCAGAGCCTGTGCCAGGCCCAAAGGACACCCCAAGAAAAGACCTGGCCCGTCCTCAGAGGGCTGAGCTGGATGGGCTCCCAGGGTGGGCTGCAAAGCCTGCTCCTCAGGGCACAGACCCTAACCCCGGGCCGCCGGCCCCCCGACCCTGGGGGCTGCTCTGCCTGCGGTCTTGGAGGATGGTGGTTCCGGAAAGGCCCTACCCTGGAGAGGCTGGGGTGCTGGTTGGGCCTCCAGAAGCCTGTGCTGCAGCTCATCCTCTGCTGCCCCAACAATGGGAGTGGGTGTGGCCCACCCCGTGGCCAAGAGGTCAGGGAGTGTCCTGCCCCGTGAGGCTCCACCACCTGCTGCTGCCCAAGGGGCCTGCCCAGCCCACCACCCGGATGACTGCTGCTGTCGGGGTGTTCCGTCTCATCCCTGGCTACGTTGCACCTAGGCAGGGCCCTTGGGAAGGTGGGCATGAGGCCCGGAGGCCGGAATCCTGGGGTGCTAGGGAGGTTCTGGGGGGTTGCTCTGCCCTCATCATGTTCCTGCACTGGCAGGGATCGTGGGCGGCCACGGGAACCGCTGTCATCACTTCCCCAACTCAGCCAGGCAGAGGGGCCACTGGTGCTCCCCTCCCCCGAGCCCCACCAGGCCCCTCAGAGACAGCCTGGCAAGACGTCGCCATCCTCGAGCCCCGGGACGCTTGCGTGCGGGCAGCTGTGGCCCCACCGAGAGCAGGGGTGTGGTGAGCTGGTTGCCTGGGACCCAGGGCGGCACCTGAGCCTGAGGAGTCTCAGTTCTGGGACAGGGGACTCACAGAGCCCCTGGCGGTGACAATGACAGCAGCCTGATGACCGAGGCCTCCCAGTGAGCCCCTGAGTGGTGCTGTGGGCAGAGCAGGGCTTGAGGAGCCAGCTGGGGGTCTGCGGGAGTCAAGGAGGGGCTGAGAGCCTGGGGCCAGATCGTGTCTTGAGAAAAGCGCAGTCGAAATGGCCACGTCAAGGGAGCAAGGTGGAGGCCAGAGCCCGCCTGCTCCGGCTGGGGAAGGGCTGGGGTCACAGAGGCTAGGGTTACCCGGAGGCACAGGGGTGCCTGGCTCATAGGCTGGGTGGCCTCTTGTGCAGGAGGGGAGCTGAGGCCAGGGCCACAGGCAGGCCAGCAGGCCCTGCGTGGGAGTGTGCAGGGGCTCACCAGCCTGGGCTGAGCCCTGGTGTCCTTGTCCTGGCTCTGTCCTCCCAGGCCTCTGTGCATCCCCCACCTCCTCCTGGGGATCCTGTCTGGGCCAGGCTCTGGCCAAACCTCTGCAGTGGGTGCGTCCCCCAGCACAGATGGACTCTCCAACCCTGGGGTCAAGCCCTGTGGATGTCAGGCCGGGCAGTCACACCCCCGGGTGCCCAGAGCGGCCAGGCCACTGCTGCCATCCACCACCAGTGAGGGGGGGCCAGGATGGTAGCAAGAGCTGGAGGGGCTGAGGAGTGCCAGGGAAGGCCAGAGATGCAGGCTGGGAGGGCTTCCCCATCAGAGAGCAGGGCCTGAGGGCCAGAAAGTGGTGAGGGCCGATGGGATCCTGGGGGCTGGGCCTCTGCCCTGGGGACCCACAGGAGGGAGAAGCTGGAGCCAGGTGGACAGTCAACCTCAGGACAGGACAGGAGCCCCCTTGGTGGCCGCTGCATGAGGGCTGGGCCTCAGGCTCCACGCAGACTCCAAGGGTAGGCCATGAAGAGACACCACCGTGGGGTCCAGAAATGGCCACTGGGCACCTCTGGGCAGGCCAGGTCTCCATGGGGGAGGGGTCTTAGCCTCTGCAGGTTCCAGACCACCAAGCAAAGCTGTCTGGAAGGTGGTCCATGCCACCCCACCTCCTTGGCCTACGACAGCCTATGCTTGGGGGTCTCAGTGAAGCTTCCAGATCTGGGGGACCCTAGTGGGGGGTGGGGAGGGGCAAGGTAGCAGCTCAGCCTCCTCAGGGCCTGCCCAGCAGCTCAGCACCAGGAACATCTCTCGCCACATGAAGTCAAAGCCGAGGGCCGGCAGCCAGCCCACCTCAGCAGGGCCTCCGCAAGCTCTGCGCCCTCCTGTCCTCTCTACGAGGCTGTGTGGTCTCAATCCCACACCTGGGCTGAGACGGGAGTGACCCCCAGGCGCCTTGGAGCTCCCAGGGGCCAGGACCAGCAGGCCTCCCTGCTGCCAGCTCCCCCTAGCCATGCCCACCCTAGCCACAGAACAGGGCCCCGGGAAGCCTGGTCCCAAGGCCATAGCAACAAAACCCACACGGTCCGCACAGCTCCTAGCAGGGGCCGCGTCAGCGCCCGGCTGCCTGAGAACCCTTGAGGGCGATCGATGCCGAGGGCTCCTTTCCCAGGCACTTGAGTCAGGAGTGCTGCTCAGCACCCACACGTCCTGCAGGCGCAGCGGGAGGGCACTGGAGGGACGAGGGCGGCTCTTCTGGCCCGGCGGGAGCAGTGAGAGACACAGGGGCCCGGGTCTGTGGGGCAGCTGGCGCTCGGTGCCCATGAGGTCTAGAAGCAGCGCAGGGAAGGGCTCCCGCTCTGGGCTCCCCACACGGGAAGAGTCGGGAGAGGCTCCTGCTCCAAAACAAAACAGCGCAGGCGGCTCCGGCCTCTTTTAAAAACTCTATTTGGTGCATGCCCACGGCGCTGCGTCCCGTCAGACATACCTGGATAGATCTCTCTATTTATACATATATATAAAAGGTTCTTTAGCAGTTAAATAGATTCCAATGCGAACGTCTCCCAGGACAAAGCTGCATCGCGCCTCTCGGCCACACGCATCCGTGCGGGCTGCGGCGTACGTGCCGTGTCACGGTAGTGCGATATAAATATGTTGATTTGAACGTAGTTTCCCTGTGGTGGCAAAAACACATTCCTGACAAGTGACAAGCGGAACCATCCGGCGGCCGCAGTGCCTCACTCGGCCGGGACCTCATACTTGAAGATGACGCTGAAGAGCCGGCCGCCCAGCCGCTCGGCCAGCCACGCGTTCTTGATGACGGCCAGCTTGAGGCTCTCACAGCACAGGGCCGCGTGGTAGTTGGTGTGGACAGCACGGCCCATGCCCTCGATGACCACCAGGTCCGCGCCACGCTCCCGCACCAGTGCGGCCAGCCCCTTATCCAGGCGGCTTTGGGGAGGAAGAGAGAGAGACTAGACGAGTGGACCCCAGACCCCACCTCCCATACAGGGCAGCGACCAACGTGAAGGCCAAAACCCCCACCCCTCAATCCCTGATGTGGGGGCCTCCAAACCCAGCCTCAGCCCGGGGCCGCCTCAGAGCAGCAGCTCCCGCAGGGCCAGAGCAGCTGCAGCCGGGAAACTGCCCGAGATCTCCCTCGAACTCTAGGGGCTGATTCCTTGTCACCTTCACGCCCTCCCTGTTGGTGAGGTGGGACTGGAGCACAGATGAAGCCAGCACTAGAGAATCCCACCAAGCAGAGAAGACCAGTGGCCCCAGCACTCAGAACCCGCTCATTTAAAGGGTTCCTTTCTCTGCAATCAGCAGGACAGAGAGCGCCACATACAATCGACTAAGGGCCTCCAGAACCACAGAAGCAGAGCCTGCTGTCTCTGCGGGACGCAGAGGTGACAGACACCGGGCAGCTGCCCAGGTCGCCCTCAGCCTCAGCTGAGTGGCCACAGGGACATCAGCCCCTCCTGCCCCAAGTCCCCCAACCCAGCCCAGGTGTAGCCACCTCAGACCCTGAATCCATTCACTCTCCCCAGGCCACCTTGGGGGATGGCATCTCTGTCGCCTCCTGAGGGCAGTCCGGGCCTGGGGTCAGGAGAGGCCGTAGGGGCAGTCCTGAGGTCGGTGTCCCGCATGTGCCTGGGCGCAGGTGCACGGCACAGAGGGCATGGAGCCCAGGAGGGAGAGAGCAGGTGCAGGGTGCGGGGTTACCTGAGGTCGAGGCACGGGGAGCTGGAGCCCGTCTGCACCAGCAGCAGCCTCTCTTCCCGGAGCGCGGAGCTGCCAGACACAAGGTGGTCAGCGCCCCCAGGAGGGTGGCCCCCGGGAGCTCCCAGTTCAGTGACAATCCTCGTGGCCCACTCTGCCCAGCTGGTGCCCCTCCCCATCAAGGCCCCCCCAGCACCATCCGCCAACACTCACTGCACGACAGGGTCCATGCCCGCGATGCGCTCTGCCACGATGAGAGACTCGCTGTGGGTCACGTCGTTCAGGGCGGGGCCTGAGTTGCACGCCAGGATGACCTGCAGGAGGAGGGCCCAGGCTCTTTAGGAACCTGTGCCGGCCCAGCATGGTGCCTGTGTGCACCCCAGCCTTCGAGTGGCTGGCCTGGGTGAGGGTGCTGTGCCCAGCGGGCCTGGGTGAGGGTGCTGTGCTCTGCGGGCCTGGCCAGCCACCCGCTGCTGAGGAGCAGGGACCTTGCCTGACCTTGCCACTCTGTGGCCCCTGGGAGGGAGCCAAGCCGAGGGGCAGAACCGAGTTCACAGCCTGCCCTTGGGACCTGCCTGTCTCCAATTGGCATGAAGTCACAGTCCCAAAGCCTCCTTGCTGGGCGCACGCTTCCAGGAGCCTGGCCTCAGCCCTGGGCTTCAGCACATGGACCCTCGGCCTGAGCCCGGGGAGCTGGGAGCCTCCACCCCAGCATATGAGGGCTCTGGGCCGCCTCCCACACGCTGCCACCTGCACCTACCTGCTGCGTCTGGAGGAGCCCGACCACCGCCAGAGGCCCAGGGCGGCGCCAACCCCACCAAGAGCAGAGAAGCCCAGGGGAAGGGCCCCACCCACCACCTCGCCACTCACCTCAGTCCCTCTAAGGAGTAGCTCCCTGACAAAGGGGAAGACTCCCAAAATGATGTCTATTCCACTGTTATCTGCGAAAATTAAGGCACATTTATGAGGGGGCCCCTGTAAGACAAAACCAGGACGTTCAGTTGGGAACAGGTGCATCCAAGCGAGTCAGACCCCACCCCTGCCGCCCGCCCCGCTGCCCTGCAGGGGCCGAGACCGGGGGCTTCAGGGCCCCAGAGGCGCTGGGATGGGCTCCCCTGCAGGGCCCGAGACCAGGACTTCAGGGCCCCAGAGGCACTGGGGATAGATCAGCCTGCAGGGGCCGAGACCGGGGGCTTCAGGGCCCCAGAGGCACCGGGGATGGGCTCCCCTGCAGGGACCGAGACCAGGACTTCAGGGCCCCAGAGGCACTGGGGATGGATCAGCCTGCAGGGGCCAAGACTGGGGGCTTCAGGGCCCCAGAGGCACTGGGGATGGATCAGCCTGCAGGGGCCAAGACCGGGGGCTTCAGGGCCCCAGAGGCACTGGGGATGGATCAGCCTGCAGGGGCCAGTGACTGTCTCTTCTGGCAAGGCTTTGTGCCTAGAGCAGGTGACCTAAGAAGTGGTCATGACAGGAGGGCAAGTGTCGAGCAGGGGACGCTGAGGCCTCGGCCCGCAGGACTGTGAGACTGTAACAGGAGGGGAGGGCCTCCGGAGGCGGGCCATGCCTACCTCCCTCCAGTGACCACCCGCCCCCCGGGCCCCACGCTGTGTCCCCAGGGGCAGAGGCGAGAAGCCCCTCCACATACCTTTAACCTCTGAAGCCACTCGCTGTAGGAATCCACGAGCCACGGTCTTTCTGAGAGAGAGGGAGGGACACACGGTCAGCTCGGCGCGCCAGGTCAGGGGTTAGGAGACGCATCTTCAGGGGTTCGTCTCTCCAGGAAGCAAGTTCTCCCCACCCCCGAGCCTGGCTGACAGAGCCTCGAGCAGGGGAGGTGCCTGGACCCTGACCGCAACTGCTTTCGCTGTTGCAGAGAACGCTCAGGCACGGACCCAGCTCAAGACGCAGGTTACTTGGCCATCCGTACCTTGTAACTTCCTCTTTGCTTCTTCAAACCCAAAGTAGGGGTCGGATTCAAGGACACTGCATGCAGGAGGAGAAAAGAAAGTCAAGAAAAAACAGAACGAAAACCTTCGGCCAGAGTGCTCAACGTGAAGACCCCAAATCCCTCCCAGGCGGGACAGAGGCAGCTGCTCAATGTGAAGACCCCAGTCGCTCCCAGGCAGAACAGATGCAGCGTTCTTGATACGCGGTGATCAGCAGAAGGCTCAGGGGGCCATTGAGCAAAGGTCTGAGAGCGCGCAGGCTGTTTCTTAAGGTGGACTCAGAGCCATGGGACCAGGGAAGCCCATCGGTGACTGGCAGCTACAGTACGTCCCCGTGCTCGGCGCCCATGCAGGCGGTGGTGGGAGACCCCGGTGACTGGCAGCTGCAGTGTCCCCGTGCTCGGCGCCCACGCGGGCGGTGTGGGAGACCCCGGCCACAAGGCCAAGCCCATGGGTCAGGACCCTCCTCCAACGCTCCCAACAGGCTGCGGGAGGGACCTGTGTCCCAGAAGGGCAGCCACGGTTGGGGGCAGCATTCTTGTCTATGTCTGGAGACATGAGTGGAACCCAGGGAGGGCCGGGAACCCAGGCATCTCCCTCCAGCCCCACATGTAAAACAAGCAGGGACCACAAGACATGGTGTGGCCGCCTGGGGAGGCTCAGAGACTGGAAGCAGCTTCTTCGGGAGTGAAGGTAAATTACGGTGGGAATGGTTCATTTCCAAGATTCAGAGCCCCGGGCTTTAGACACCTGCCTGTCCCACAGGCCAGTCTAGGGAACTCCTTTGCAAAGCACCCTTTGATCATCACATCAGAAATGTTTAATTCCTATCACATGTAGGAAACATGAATTTGGATTCTGACAATAGAAAATGTCAGCCCCGTATTTCGGGAGCCACACCCCTAGGCCTCCTCAGCATCTGTGCTTAAGGAAGGGGCATCCTCAGAGCCTGAGGGGACAAACAAGGGCGCTGGGCCCTGCACAGCCCCTGGGGCTGCTGCCATGTGCACTCCCTGGGCCCCAAAGCCCCTAGCCACCAAGCCACCAAGCCACCAAGTGCTACACAACCCCTGAGAGACCCGCTCCACCTCCTTGCACACAAGCCTGGGGCAGGACAGGGACCCGCAGGCTGCAGAGCCCGCCCTGAGCCCGCAGACACCTACTCAGACACGGCTTTGGCCCCCCAGTCGAAGACGTTCCCCGCCAGGAGGCCTTTCACCAGCGCCAGCTGCCGCTCCTCCCAGCCCAGCGTGTCCAGGGAGCGCACGACCCCGGGGAAGCACCTCAGTGCCACGCCATTCTCCCGCTGCTTCACCTGCGGAAAATGCCAGACGCCAGGCCTGAGCGGAGACATGGCCTCAGCCCACAGGGCTGCTCCTGGCTTTCCGCCAGGCCGCGTCTCCACAGGCCCTCGGCAGAGCACCAGCCCGGACACCCGCCAGGCCCAGCCTGTTCCACACCACACCCCTCAGGAGCACAGACTCAGGCCCAACCGGAAGCCCACCAGGCACAAGCCTATCAGCCCCGGGACAGCGGCCAGCGCGCAGCTGCACAGGGCTCTGAAGAGAGGCCCAGGACAGCTTCAGCCCCCACGTGACAGCAGTGGGTGAAGGGGAGGACACGGGTGGAGGACAAGGCCCCCACGGGTACCCACAGCCCTGGCCTCAAAACCCTCAACACCCAGACTTTCCCTATCACAAGGCTCGGTGTGTGAGGGGGAGGGGGAGGCGTGGCACGGGCCATTCCCAGAAGGGGAGGGAGAAGTCCATGCCTCCGCTGCTGCCCGCTGCCTCCTGGCAGAAGGGGCCAAGGAGGGCTCTGGCCGCCAGACCTGGGGAAGCAAGATGGATGCCCAGAAAGGCCCATCTCAGAGGGCTCCCATGGCCCTGCACATTGCCAGGGTAAGAGGTCTCTGGTCACTGCCCAGCCTCCTAGGAGGCAGCGAGGGTGCCCCAGGAGAGGCAGGCAGTCCCCAACCACAATCGCCCACCCTCGCAGAAGCTGGGAGGCCCTCGGCTCCTGCAGACAAGCAGCCTGTGTCTCTCAGGAACACATGTCCACACGGGGCTCACACGCCTCTTCTCCAGTCACAGTGGTCCCCACCCCTAACTGGCGCCAGCATCTGTGGGGGCAACACAGCTCCTCAGCAGACGCTGCCAACAGAGGCCCTGGCTAGTGTGGTGCCAGTGCTGGAGGTGGGGCTGCTACCAAACCTGCATGGCCTCAGAGAGAACAGGACGCCCCAAGTCAGTGGGAGAGAGACAGGACCCACGGCGCCAGTGGGACGGGGACAGGAGCGAGCGGAAGGCCAGGGCACACTGCACTCACTTTGGAGTAGGGGTCTGGGAAGTTGAACTCGTTCAGACAGTGCTCCCTGGTGTCCAGCAGGCTGCGCACGGTCAGGGTCCCATAGGCGCTGGGGACAGACACGGCAGAGGGTGCTGAGCAGGACAGGCCGAACACCCGCCCATCTGTACATCCTGGGCTGCGCCACGGATGTCCTCGGGAGCCCGGCAGGGCAAACGCTGCTTGAGGTGGGGCCCGGGGGGACTGTGCCACCGGGGCCCACACCCACCCCCAGCCAGCTGGGGTCCAAATGCCAGCATCACAGCCACTTTCTCAGAGGTGCAGGGGCCCTCTGGGCAGAAGAGGCAGTCACACACCAGGATGCTGGGCACTTACAAGGGCTGCTGTCTCAGGGTCTGAAGCTTGTTCCAGTACTTCTGTCGGAACTTCTCTGCCCTCTCAGCTGCATCCACGGAGTCTGGCTGGCTCGCCACTGCGCGCTTCACTACCTGCCAGCGACAGGAGGGATCAGCCAAGCATGGCCCTGCTGCTTGGGAATTCCTCATGGGACAGCTGGGGGCTCGGGGCAGAGTGGGGGCTGCCTGTTAAGCGCTGCCCAGGCTATGGTCGGGGACAGCTACAGGGGGCCTGAGGCAGGGTGGGGGCTGGCCGTGGGGGGCTGCCCAGGGCCGGGTTGGGGCGGCTAAAGGGGGCCTAGAGCAGGGTGGGAGCCAGCTGTCGGGGGCTGCTTGAGGCAGGGTAGGAGGTAGCTGTGGGGGGCTGCCCAGGGCAGGGTTAGGGCCTGCTGTGGGGGACTTGGGGCAGGGTGGGGGCTGCCCGGGCTGTGGTCAGGGCAGCTCCTACTGGAACAGGAAAGGCTGACGGTGACAGTTCACAGTCCCCTGAGGCTTCCCTTTGGCATTCGCCCCTCCCAGCTGCCCTGGGAGGCAGGAGCAGGAGTGACCCTGGCTCCTCACCACTCAGGAAACCCGAGGCTAAGACCCATGGCCTGGGACTCGAGCCCCACCCTGTGCCAGGGCCACGGGGCTCTGGATGCCCAGAGCTCACTCCGGGTCCTGGCAGGGCTGGGACTCTTCCCTCAGGACAAACCCCGGCAGCACCCGGCCTCTGCGAGGGCTTCATGACGAATGCGTGTTGCTACTGGGGCTCCCCGGCCCTGAGCTGAGCTCCCGAGGGGCAGCGTGGCCCCGGGCCTGGCATGTGCTCCACTGGACCACCCCGGCCTTGGAGGTGGGACGCAGGAGCCCCCAGGTGGCCTCACCGGAGCTTGCTGGGGCTGAGCCTCACCCCACCCTCAGAGTCAGGGTCCCACAGGGCCTCCTGCACCTCAGGTGGAGTGGAAAAGTCTACTAAGCTGCTTTCTGAAGAAATGTAATAGCTGACAAAATGTGCCTCGACGTCACGTCCTAACTGACCCACCAAGTGATCAAGAGCGGTATTTTTGCCTGAGAAACAGAAACCACCCCCCTCACACTCAGACGGAGATCAAGGGGTTTCTGGAAAACACCGCCCTGTCCCACTTCGCCACCTTGTCTTTGCCCCCGGGAGCCTTGGAAGGTTAGCCCGGGCCGCGGCCTCGGAATCCTCTAGTCGGCACCCAGAGCCCTCACCCCGTCCAGGGCCTCCTCGAAGCAGGTGAGCCAGTATTTTCGGGCCAGAGCGTCGTCGGTGAGGTCCACCGTGTCGGGCACATAGGAGGGCGGGTCCAGGAGGAGCGGCAGGTTGACCAGTGGCCTCTCCAGCCGGTCCATTTCCAGCAAGTCAAACTGGAAGACAGGCAGTGGCAGGGTGGAAATGTCACCACAGTTCAGAACCACCTAAGCCACGCTCAGAATCTTCCCCTCTAATAAAGGAGGAGATGTAACGCCTTCTTCTGCCATGCCTCTGGGCCACAGAGAAGATCCCCACCGGACCCCCTCGGCTGCCCAGCGGCCCGAGCCGGATACCTTGACTCACCCCCTGGTTTGACACTGAGGTCGCGTCTGCTCACCACACGCCTCCTGCCCCCATCACCTCCCCGCTGCAGCTACCCCTCCCCAATCACTGCTGCAGTCACCCTACCATCACCCCTCCCCCACCATCCCTCTCCCCACCACCACCTCCCTGCAATCACCCCTCCCTGTCACCCCTACAGTTTCACCTCCTCCCCGTCACCCCTGCAGTCACGCTGTTCCCACCTCTGGTCCTCCAGGTGGCCATGTCTGCACACAGAGGTTTGGGGTGCTGTCCTCACTAAGCGCTGGGCAGTGTTCCACCCCGTGCCAGGCAGGCAGCCCCCACGCCCCACACGCACCTTCCTTTCTCCATGAAGGGCTATGGCAAGGCCAGGCCACTATGCGCCCAGGGCACCCGGGGGCCACCTGTACCCAGCACAGGCGCGCTCATGGGCCCTGCTGGCTCCTTCTACCTTATTCCGGGAGGAACTGAACTGAGCTGAGCCAACACACACACCAGTACTCAGTTCCCTGCACGCTAACTGCAGCAGCCGCTGCTCTGGGACCAGAGGGGCTGTGGGGGGAACTGTGCAGCTGGCCGCCTCTTCCCACCCTCCGGTGACTACCCCGCAGGTCACACGCCAGCCCTCTGCCCTTCTCCACCAAGGCACCCCTGCCGGCAACTGCTGGGGCTGGAGAAGCAGCCTCCGGGTGGGCAGGGACCTCCAGGCAAGGAACTCCACAGCAAGGGGGAAGCCTTCCGGGTGGGGAGCCCACGCCGGGCAGAAGCTCCACAAGGAAAAAGCCAGTGACTTCCCAAAGCCAGCGCAGAAGGCGGCAGGAGCCCCACATTAACTACCACGGACCACAGCCGGGACCGCCCGGTGCTGCCGTGCCGGGTCGCAGGCTCCTTCTATCCTGACAAACGGGTTCAAATCTTTGCTTTGCCTTTTTTGGAGAATATAAACTCGAAAAAATGACTCCATCTCTCTGCATGTCAGTTTGATCCTCAGTAAGGTGGGGCACCTCCTGCCTGGCAGGGCTGTGCCGCTGGTGGGCACCAAACAGGTTAACAAGCGTCTCCTGAACGGGGCCCCCCGAGGCGCTGTGGCCGCCCGCGCAGTCACTCCAGGTTACAGTACAGGACGTTTGGCAAATTATGCACACGTGGCAGAAACGGAGGCTGGGAGACACCAAGTCCCTCTGCCCAACACCAGGGCAAAAGCCGAGAGGCTGGGCCTCTGCCAGGCCCCCAGGGCCTTGCCCCCACTCCCGGGCCTAGTGTGGGCGGAGGGAAAGGCAGGCCAGGGCTGCGGCCAGTGTGGCGCATCCGTGCAGGGCCCAGGGGGAACCGCAGGACCCACAGAAAAGGGAGGCGCCCTCCTGAGGAGCCAGAACTCAACGAGGCGCGGTCTTGAAAACACTGACACGGACTTGTAAGGACCCCGTGTCGACAAACGACAAGCGACTTCCTGCCAACAATGCCAGTGGCCTGTCCTGAGGGGTCCGACTAGCTTTGTACGTGACCTCAGGTAACTGTTCACAGCTATAGAAGGAACGAGCCCCCCGGGGGGACACGGTCGAGGACCCTGACAGCCCGTGACACGGGGGCGGTTTCTGCCACGTGGGGCTGTGCTGGGGGCATTCCGTGTGGCTGACACAGGTCCTGGCGGGGAACCCTTCCAAAGCAGCTCTAACTCGGCAGACATGGGGTGCATCTCCCAGCCCGCCAGTGCCACCCAGCTCAGGCCAGGGCAAACCCACTGGGGATCCGAGGAATCAGCCTGGACACCCCGAGGAGAGCAGACGCTAAACCAGAGACAGAGACCGACAGAGACAGAGACCGTCAGAGACAGAGACCGACAGAGACAGAGACCGACAGAGACAGAGACCGACAGAGACAGAGACCGACAGAGACAGACAGAGGACCGACAGAGACCGACAGAGACAGAGACCGACAGAGACAGAGACCGTAGACCGACAGAGACAGAGACAGACAGAGACAGAGACCGACAGAGACAGAGACCGTCAGAGACAGAGACCGACAGAGACAGAGACAGACAGAGACAGACAGAGACAGAGACAGAGACCGTCAGAGACAGAGACAGAGACCGACAGAGACAGACAGAGACAGAGACAGAGACCGTCAGAGACAGAGACAGAGACCGACAGAGACAGAGACCGACAGAGACAGAGACAGAGACAGAGACAGACAGAGACAGAGACCGACAGAGACAGAGACAGAGACAGAGACAGACAGAGACAGAGACCGTCAGAGACAGAGACAGAGACCGACAGAGACAGAGACCGACAGAGACAGAGACAGAGACAGAGACCGACAGAGACAGAGACCGACAGAGACAGAGACCGTCAGCCAGAGTGCGCAGTCCTAGCGCAGGGCCCTGGGTGGCTCCCGAGGTTTCGGGTTTCAGCTCCAAAGTGGACGGGCTCCCTGGTGTGGGGGAGGCCCCCCGGTGTGGGGGGGCCCCTGGTGTGGGGGGGCCCTCTGGTTGGGGGAGGCTCCCGGGTGTGGGGGGGCCCCTGGTGTGGGGAGGCCCCCTGGTGTGGAAGAGGCCCCCGTCACCCCTGAACTTTAGTAATCTCTCTGCAAACAAGAAGGCCGGATCACACAGACTCCGTAATTCCTGCTGAATGTTTCCAAAACACGAAAGCACCCAGTGAGGGAGAGAGGAAAGCAAGCCACAGTGTCCTCCTCCCGCCCCTAGTTATACCCCAGGTCCTTGGAAGGATTCGCCATGGGTAGAGGCGCCTTTCAGCTGGGACAGCCACAAGAGGCTTCTCTCAGGGACAGGAGAAGGGAGCGCGGCACTGGCCGCTCCCTTGGGGCCCGGGACGGCCAGAGCCCGCTACTCACGGTGCCGCTCCGTGCCCGCTGCGCTGGGCCGAGCTCTGGTGATGTGCTCATCAACCCGGAGCTGCCTGCATAGTTCTCTCCCCAGCTGTACTGGTTGGGATCTGGAAAGCAGAGAGTCAGGTCACCTGTGTTAACCTTGTCCTTGATTCAAAAGCAAGAGAGTGGAAAAGGAAAGGGTATAAAAACCGATTAACTAAATTGTTAAAACGTCAGACATGCCTGCTGCTGTCACTTTCTGAGGACTCACGTTCCCCACCCCACCTCCACCCTGGGCCGCTCTGACCCAGAGCACAGGCCCAGACCACAGCTGAGGCCCAACGCTGCTCAGGGGCACCAGCACCGCAACTCACTGTCCTGCTCGGCTCCTTTCAGGAACGCTCCGATGGCTCCCAGGTAGCCTTCGTGCCTCAGAAACAGCGCCTGCACTTCCCCCTGCCATGGCCAAAGCACACGTGCCGCTGTTGGCCCCACACAACACCCGATGCCTCCGCAAACCAACTCAACACGGTAGGCCTCGCACTGCGCAGCCCAAACCCTCCAAGAGGCATCCACGGCACACTTGCCGGTGGAATCGCGCCTGGCGCCAGAGGGCGGGCTGCTGTTTGAAGAAAGCTAAGGGTGAGATAGCTTCTCCCATGCGGTGAGTCCCTAGCCCACAAGTCTCTGCATCAGGGACATGGGTGGACGCCCCTCTGCAGGGGCACAGGCACCCTGACCCCAGCGCAGATCGGCGGACTCCCCCAGAACTCTCTAGAATACTCATCACTGGTGATTTGCTCAGACTCAGGCGGCCACGGTGCCACAAAATGTAGGCTCCCCAGAACCAGCCAGAAGAGAGGGGTGCTGGGCTTCTCGGCCACCCGCCTTCCAGGCCCCCCGGACTCTCGACCTCCCTGGGCTGCTGCGGTCTCTGACCAGCATGACTGATTTTGAAGACCCTGGGGGTCCGCGTCAGAGGCTGGGGAGGGCGGCGCGCCCGTTACCTTGGAGAAGAAGTTGATGCTGTAGGTGATGGTGCGCATGGTCACGGGGTGGCCCCTGATGAAGAAGCCTCCAAAGTACACGCGGTCCAGGCTGTGCAGCCGCGCATGGAGACAGGCCAGCTGCCCGATGTCGTTGCTGATCATGTGCAGCAGGCTCTTGGCCATGTCTTCCTTGGAGAACTCTGGAGAAAGGAAGGAAAAGGCGCTCATGTCCAAGCACAGCAAGTGCCTGATGTGACAGCAAGCGGGAGCGGAAGGGGAGAGAGAGCTGAGTGGGAGGGCATGGGGGAGAGAGCTGAGCGGGAGGGGAGAGAGAGCTGACTGGAGGAACCCCAGCCCCAGCGTGGGAGGCTGCGTATGATGCGTGGGAGGGGAGGGGAGAGAGAGCTGAGTGGGGGAACCATAGCCCAAGCACCGGAGGGGAGGGGAGGGGAGAGCTGAGTTGGGGAACCTGAGCCCGAGCATGGGAGGGGAGAGACAGCTGAGTGGGGGAACCTGAGCCCGAGCATGGGAGGGGAGAGACAGCTGAGTGGGGGAACCAGAGCCCGAGCGTGGGAGGGGAGAGACAGCTGAGTGGGGGAACCAGAGCCCGAGCATGGGAGGGGAGAGACAGCTGAGTGGGGGAACCAGAGCCCGAGCGTGGGAGGGGAGACACAGCTGAGTGGGGGAACCTGAGCCCGAGCATGGGACGGGAGGGGAGAGAGAGCTGAGTGGGGGAACCTGAGCCCGAGCGTGGGAGGGGAGGGGAGAGAGAGCTGAGCGGGGGAACCGGAGCCCGAGCGTGGGAAGGGAGAGACAGCTGAGTGGGGGAACCCGAGCCCGAGCGCCG